TAATAACAGCTGCAGCTCTGATCCAATTTTTAGGAATCTGAAGTTGTGTCTTAATGATATTTACACACCATAGGTCATCATTAACAATGATGGAATAGTCCTTTCCTGAATCCTCAGGTATCCTGAGTCACTGGATATTTAAAAACAGAAAGTCAGTGAGCTAACACACCCTCAAATTCGGCACAATTTTTGGCACTACTTCCTAGAAGCAACTTAAACTAATAAATATGTTACTCTTTGAAATGCAATCACAATCTATACCATCAAATGACATGCATTGCTTATGCACTGTTAAATGCAACATTAATAAACAATTTATGGTAAACTGAACACATCTAGCTGAACTAGTCTAAGTTAAAACAGCCCCATCTCTGTTCTCCTTCCGGAAAGCCTTAAAAACATGGTTCTTCCATCAATCCTGGGGAGTGAACCTGCAAAGTGGCTGTATGTGGCTAAATGATGGCTGTTTTCCCAGTATCTTGGGATGCTTTTACGTTTTTTTTCTTTGTTTTTTAATTTTTGCTGTTATTTATGTCTGATGTTTTTTATATTGTGAAATGGTTCTAATTGTTATTCTACTTGTAAGCAGCCCAGAGTCAATTTGTGAGATGGGCAGCTATATAAATTCGCTAAATCAATCAATCAATCAATCAATCAATCAATCAACTTTTTGACTACAATTAACTAGTGAGAGTTAAAACTTCCAAAACATCCAGAGGCCACATCTAATCCTTGTAATAGGACAATTAGACAGCGAATTTCAAAAATCAATTGAGAGGCATTAGGCTTCTATTAAGGAACAAAGCGTTAGGGTTGTCCAAAAGTATAACACAGGATTTGGCATGATCCTGATGCCAAAGGCCAGCAGACTTAGTTAGCATTTTAGCACCCAGGATGATAATTTTACTCATTTTAAAACATTTTTCTGTAAGTAAACAACAGACCTCTTGGTCAACGTTAACAAATTACTTTTACTCAAATTCTAACCTTTTCCTTTGGTTGGCTTCTTATTCAGAGCATCTGCTGAAACAGCTATTTCAATATTATCAGGATCTCCTCCTTCCTCTTCAATAGCCTAATAGAAAATAACAATAATAAAAGGATTGTTTTATACTTGCATTTTAATCTTGAATTCACTATCATTTAGATTTGGCGCACAGAGCATAAGCTTCAAGTTAACTGCACTTTGGAAGAAGCGTTTGAAGGAGGATTCCAAAACCAGAAGAGTAACATCCCTTATGAAATGGAATGTAGTGTGACTTTAGAAAACAGCTCCAGTCCCAACACAGAGAGCCTCCTCATTCAGTCACACACAGAAATAAAGGAGAATGGGTCAGAATGATGGGCCCTTTATCACATTTAACATCTATGAGCCATCTACAGTCCCTCTGAATTGAGGCAGGGATAAATCACACAAATAAAATCAATAAATAAAAATAACAGATTTGAATAGACATCACAAATAATCACCTTCATCACTAAATGAACAAACTAAATTCAAGATCCAGAAGTTATTTTTCAGATGAACATTCTTAGCAGGATTGCCTGGTTTCAATTCAGCCATGTAAATATTTGTTGATTTTAATCAAAATTCCCATTGATATCTCACATATTCTCTATATAACAACGGATATTAGGAAGTAGTACTTTTTCAAAACCACATAATGAATTACCAAAAGAACATATTTAATTTTGAATTAATTTTAGCCTTCTGGGCAAGCATCTATAGTCAATTATTAGCAAATAACCCACAAAACCAATAATGCTTCAAGAACAGGCCGTTTGCTTAGCTTCAGAAAGCAATTCCTACAGTTCAGTACTTGCCATAAGCTCAATTTATATTTCAACTTTGATCATCTGTCAAAGATGAGCAGACCCTGCACTGAGCCGGAGGTAGACTTGATGACTTCTAAAGCAACTTCTCACTCCATAATTCTATGATAACAAATAGTAACGTAGGCTAAACCAATAGTTACATATAAAACCCCAAACTATGTTAAAAGAAATCTTGCCTAACATTTAACAATTTTAGAGAAGAAAACAATTATCTGGTTTAGCACTTGGTATTAACTATGCTAACAGACTCACAAAGCTGAATGGGGCTACTTAGACCTTAGAATTCAACCAATAATATGCTTAGTATTTTAAAACACCATGGTTCTTCAGAGTTGATGCTTTAAAATACCTTGCCATTTCTTGATTTGGGCTTTGTTACCTTTTTTAATGGAGGAATATTATATGTTACTATTCAATGGAGAATTTGTCACTGCAAAATGTTGTATGCTGAAAAAAACAGGAGCAGACCTTTCCAGAGGTAAGGGCTGTGTAATAGCAGGCCAACTGGATGAGTTTAAAATTAAAGACCATGAACATCTTTATTAAATCTTCTTAAAGATCAGACCAGACTGCGGAGTTCAGGTAGTTAAGAGAAACTAAAAAGATGAGTGTACAAGGCCTCTCAAGTGAGTACAGAAAGTGATATTTCCAGTGAGATATTGAAGTGGCTGGCCCCAGCATCAAACTTTTAACAACAACTCATTATGCTTGATCTCAAATTTTGAATGGACAATTGTTTCCTACCACAAGATAATACAATGCTCCTTGGCTTCAAGTAACTTTTTTCCCCCAGAGTCTCCTTCAAGTGGAATCTGACTCTTGCTGACTTCACAGACCCCCTCCATGAAAGGGCACCAGTCACCACTGCCTTCTTCTGGAATATTCTCTAATTTCTATCCTTCAACCCTGGCACTCCCTAGTAGCGCTGTGCAATGTTTTTGATTCCAAAGAGACGTTGCCCACGTGAAGGACCTGCTACCAAGTTCTGGGATCGCACAGCCACCCTCTGCAATTTGGGGAAGAGAGGCACAGTACTCGGTCTAAATAGGTTGTGAGGATGCCGAGGCACCCTCCCAAGTATCTCGCTGCTTTCACACCCCATTCCCTAAGAGCCAAGCCCGACCCTGCTGTGCTCCTGAGCCCGGACCGGGGGTTTCGGCGGACCACCTACAACTGATTCCCAGCGTGGTGGAAGGCTGACCGCTCTTCCTGGTCACTTGTCCCCTCTGCCAGGGGCAGGAGGCTGAACTGAGCTGCAGCTGGTCTTTGGCTTTTCATGAGGGGCGGGGGGGGCTTTAGTCCCCCCCCCC